TGATATAACCATTCTTTTACCTTCCCATTCAGAAGTGGAACAAAGAGCTGGCCAAGAAAGCACAACAACAAGCCAACAGATGTGATTTCTTCTCCGTCGATCCAAACGACCTAATCATCGGTGACTTTGATTCAGTTGGACAGAATCTCGCACAATTCCCAACCATTTCTGAGTAAGTCCGTTTCCTGTTTGTGTGGAATTTACACTAATGTGATAGAGTGCTGAATTATTGGTTCAGTGAACACAAGAATTACGACTTCGAGAAGGACGAGTGTAAGGCGGAGTGCAAGAACTACAAACAGGTATGTCTCATCGTGTGTTGAGTGCATTTTTTTAAATGGTTTGCTGATTGTTGTTTATATGCACGATGTGCTCAGAGATATCCTGCGAATCCAATGAATGTCTGATGGTGTGATTTGCGTGTTTTGTTCCACCGGAGTTTGATTTCTTATTCATAAAGATTAGTAATGGTTTCATGAAATTAGAAACGTGACTTGATGTCATGTTTTCCATGACTGTTCTTTAGTATGAGAATCGAATCCATTTTCGTCACTGTGATGCTCTCTAGTTCACCCATCTCACTTTCCTGAGTCTGGTGGATATCAGAAAAATGCACTTACTTACAGAACAAGTTGCAGGTCTGTTGAAAACCTTTCACACATGTAACTGCGGATGACTTCACTCTCCCTCTCCGACTGTCTCTCTTACTCGCAGATGGTGTGGAGTACTACCAATGCAATCGGATGTGGTGTGAAGAAGTGTCAGGAGAATTATCTGGTCATTTGCAATTATGCACCATCGTGAGTCATATTTTATTCATTTCGATTACTGTCGAATCTATAAACTCATCTGAATGCATGAGGATGTGCGCTGTTAATGAGCAGATGGTGCCACCTATAGCGTTTGATGAATAAGTATTCTTGTCCTGCAGGATGTATATCGCTTATGCCTTTTAGTATAATAATAATTGAATAAGCTTTCACTTTGTTAACTATTTTAGAGATTCAGATGGCAGACCATATGAGGTGGGTTCAAAGAGTCAATGCATGCCACGATGAGGATGAAGACGAATGTTAATCATATTGTCGTTAGGAAATTTAGAAATGTTATAAAGAAACAATCAGTATTTTAATGTTCTTCATAATGTATTAATTTAGAGGACGTTGATTGTTCGAAAATGTGATATGGTTTCTTTTGTGATAATGCTCGTGTAATTAAAGTTTATTACCAGAGAACTTTATGTCTTTCCTTAGGCAATTTTTCACATGTTATTCTTAGAGTTGTTAAAAAATTTTCATTCAAGCAGACGGTTGATATGAATCAGTGAATGGGATTGTCTAACTGTAGATCGACGAATTTCGGCTACTCTGAGAATATTCGTATTTGAGATTTGAGAGCGTCAGTTATCATGGTACTCGCACAAAATTCGATATCATAAACATCATCATTGCAACTGAGTGATTACCAGTAAATGATGACTATTAGGATGTTTTTGTCCCATTGAAGATGAATTACATTTCCTTCTCATTGTAGTTTGATATATGTTACATCAATGCCATTTGCATTATTACTAGATTATTTTATTCCTTTACGCTCCAAGTGGAACATAAATCTTTCGGCTGATGATTTGAAGATTAAATAGCAGTGGTATTTATTTTTACCGGATGGGACTGCTAGTCTCATGCCCAACTTTCCCTTTATTATCTGTCTTATTACTGGCATAGAGAGATAAAGCAGTGCGTCGGCCGGGTTATCGAACCTCAAACCGAGTTGTGAGTGATTGGCGAGCATTCTTCCGCTGTACCACCTATGCAATTCACATAATTTGATCAGCAGTTGGACACAAACAATTTTAATAATCCTTTCTAGAATGCTTAACTTGAGATGGATTCCATTAGCGTGTAATACATAATTGTATGATAGAATGGAAAACATAAAAAGTGTTAGTAAGCCGGATGGTTTATACAGGTCGAAAGAGACAACGCATATTGCGTAGTCGCTACGTAATTGAATCTATCAGGGTGAAAAACAATCTGGTCTTATGTGTGTGCAACGATAAAATTAAAATAAATGTAACAGAATATTTGCTAACAGTAGTACAAGTGTAGCTACCGAAACGGACTTTTTGCGGTCTGAACGCATGAAGGTGATCTCTGAATTCTACGTTGTAGCTGCCGAAATTGCCTTGAGACAGGTACAGTTATAAAAACGCTTCAAAGACAGCAAAAAAAACGATTATTCATCGATAGATCTATTTGGTTCGATTCAACAATGATAACATCACAAATTCAAAATCATCTCACCAACGCTGTTAGGCAGCTGTACCATTCATTTATTTTTGTTTTAATTTTTAAACTACTCATACTTGTCAGTAGTACATGTTGTGGTATATGCTACATTGCTTAATCTGAAGACACTACTCTGTATCGACATATAAGTTTGTCGATGTTACATAGACTGACATAATGTTCACTTCAGAAATCTCTTATCAGGAGTATATTTTCTTTCATAATAATATATTTTCCTGATCCTTAGTCTACTGATGAATATAATGAGTGGAATAACACGTCTCACAATTCAGCAAACTAAGAAATGACATTTTCAAAAACTGTTACACCATGACAACAAACAGTTAGTTTAAGCGTTTGCTTAAAAAAAACTTCTTTACGTTCCGATGTATTGTGGAACAATCACCCAATGGTAATCATTGTAACGACTGTCTAAATAGAAGCGTCAACTTAAATTTATGCCACAGGTAAACAATAAAATCATCACTATAAGTGATACATTACTATGCTTTATGGTAATCAGTAAGTAGTAAGTTGTGATTTGTCAATAGACATCTTATCTCAGTGTAAAGGAATCCCTAAGTGTAACTCTCCACCACATATCCAATATTTTATTTTGATTACAGCTTGATTCCACACTGTATTTTTGGTACAAGTATAGAATTTTCAGCATGGATATCGGTAGCCCAAATTTCGCAGGCCGACCATAGATATCAGGTGTGCGTCGCAGGGGATCGAACCTCGGTCCATGTGCATGGTAGGCGAGAGACCTAACCACTGTGCCACCGACGCACATGTCAAATATGTGGCTGAATGTATTGAAGACCCGACAACATAAAATTGGCCAGTAGGCATTCAGTATAAGCATTACAGTCTTCTCGAGGTTCATTTGTCACTCGAATAGCTCATTGATAAAAGTCTCTGACTAAAATACTGGGTAACACAGTTTCCAATCATCTCTGTATGATTTATCGACATGCATCAGTCAGCAGAAAACTCAGATTCGCGTCTTCCTGAGGTTTATAACCTCCTACATAATATCGTTTCAAATTACATCGTAAGGACGGCCAGATTGACTTTCCAATACTAATTGACAAATATTGGCCAGTATTACAGACAAATCAACTTGATATAAGTTACTCTTTAGTCGCCTATTAACTTCGTCCCAGTGAGATATTTTATGATTTTGTTCTAGCCCAAAAAACCTCATCGAACTATGGGTCAGTACCTGGATTACTAGGTTATGAGGAGAGCATGTTATCACTTATCCACCGCTGAAGATTACCATATAAGGAAGAATTAGTTGTCACGTACATCTTGGCTTCACTTACTGACGTCAGTTAGTGATAGAATCTGAAATGAATCCAACATCAGCTGATGACTGTCAGAATTAGATATTTGCATTACTCACTGATTGAATAAATGTAAAGAATGTTGTTTAATAAATTGGATATCAGAGACTCCAGGTGGAAAAAGTGCGCAAATATGGATCAGGAAACAGATATATTCTAAGTATTGGTTTGTAAGGATTTCATTGAGTGATTACGGGATTTTATCATGGGGTGATATCGTTTAGAGAACCATTGGAAAACACACCAGGAAGTACTGAACAGCCATTTCTTCCTAGCTCGGAACTCTCCAGTAGTGATAATCCCACCGGAATCTGATCCCAGGAGTTTCCCTTTTACTAGGCGAACTCGTAGACCACTAATCCACTGGGACCCAATTCAATGGCCCATGCATTCCAACTTCTACCAATGCACGACATAGAGCGATCACTAGCCAATGTCTTCTGCGAGTATCAGTCCTCACGCTCAACCTGCTGTACCCTAATGGTCACGACTTCCCACTAGAACCTGAATAGGGCCACTCACTAGTCATATCGATTTGTTTTAAATGTATAGTGAACATTTAATAAAACAGGTATACTTTTTTATATAAGGTCTACCTATATATACTTTATAATGAAGCTTTTTGGTTTCACTGATGTAAATTTGAAGTTAGCCACTTCTAACTATTGCCTGGGTGGTGGGCTTCAGGTCCTAGGCTCAGTCTTTGGTGGGTTATAAATTTGTACCGCTGGGGAGTCTCTAACTAGGAAAGTGCAGCTCTCCAGCTCAATTTTATTTCAATGGTTCACTGTCTGCTTTTCCCCAATGAAGTGGTGTTTGAAATCAATGTTATTTTGTACAAACCTTAATCTCAAATGACGTTTACATTGTATACAAATGATCATGTGAAGCCTAATAGTAACAAACTGTTTTCATTTACTCAAAATCAGACTCATTATTTCAGTATTCTTTTGACTTTTATTCGTTCTTTTTGTCTAATGTGAACAGTTTCTCTGCTGTGAAAATAAAAATGTGAAATTTTAAAGTATTCGTTTGAAGGGCTGTAAATTACTTCACCACTTAGAAAAATTACCACACATCAGAGAGTACTGCATTGTTTCATCCAAGCTTGACAGCCTTCAGTACAAGGTACATATGACTCCAACAGGGTTTAAAAGAGAACTTTAGGTTATTTAATCATTAAATTTATCACCATTGATGAACAAATTAAGATACATTGGAGACTGATGAATAACCAACAAGAAAATGAACGAAAAAAACTGCGCAATAAAAGCGAGTAACTTTTTTTATTATTTAGTATATTTAAATCTCAGAAAACTGAGTGGTTATGAGAGAATTCTTTTCTGTCTTCATTGGCACTTCATTTCCTGATACAACTGTCTTTGGTTCCTTTTTCATAAGGTCGTTTTTTATCCTGAATACTGAACACAGAATAAAAAATAAGGTACAATGGAATAACACTGTTTTTAGTGAAATAGCAAAATATTAACAATTTGAATACATATATAAAAGTGAGTTTTGTAATAAAGCTTATAAGCGAAAGGACAACAAAATTCATCTCTGTGAAGCGATAACTTTTAACCGCCAGAAATTATTCTTGTTTATTTTTTTTTACATGGAACGACTAGTGAAGAAGTTAAGATCATGGTAGAATAATAGACTGGACAAACCTCTTTTATATACAGAGTTCGGGATTGTATTGATGAGTTGCCAAAGTCCCCACCATACAGAAATGCAGAAGCCTGACATCTTTTGTACCATTTGGCCTCTCACTGTAGATAACTTTGAATCTGGTGGAACTACGTGGCTTGCGTTTACCAATTGCTTGAGAACTGAGCTATTAATTGTCTTGCATTGTCCTTTTATTGACCATGCCGGATAATATTCAGATATCCGTTTGGAAAGTGTGCACTTTGTGTGGCCAATATAACTAGCTTCACATGAGCAGGTGAATTTACAAACACACATTGATGAGTGGCTCAAATTGGCAGTTTATCCTTCACATAACCACTGATCATTTGTTGGCTGTAGAAATTGGTTCGTAGCTCAGCCGAAAAGAAGGCTTTTCTCGATTATCTGCATAGGCAGTTCTTCAGGATCTTATCTGCTGTATCACCTTTAAACTCAAGGTTCATAAATAACAATTTCTTGGACACCGTCTGAGTTCTTTCAGCCTTTTCCCTTAACTTCCTGTCTTTCTCGATGAATCTTGGCGAATATCCATTCTCTATGAGAACCTGTCTGGGTCGCTGCAGTTCCCCGTCGGTTGTATGCCTGAAACGTATCCTTCTTATTCTCAAGGATAAGGAGTGGGTCAGGTTTCTCTTTCTTCTCTGCGCGTATTGACCATTCCATGTTCTTTTCGTGTAGATAGGTCTTTGAAGGGAACCATCACATCTCCGTTTTAGAAATTCATCCAAAAAAATGGAAATCCAAGTTAATCTCTGATTACGACGTAAACTGAATGGCAAGATCAACCTACAAGAAACCATATATAACAGTAGCACCTGAGCAGTGTATTCGAACCCATTCTCAGCTAAAGTTTGATTTTAAACTTTCCTTGTCATTACATAACAGTATTAATCAATCACAACTTATTGATAATAATTCCATCTAGTCATGATAATGTGTAATGTTAAATGATCGGAACCACTTGGTTAACTATCTAAATTCTAGATTATTTCAATTTTCTAACAGTCTAGTTGTACTTGAGAACTGCAGGGAGGTTTGACTTAGTGTGATAATGTCCTATGGATAAGCAATTTTCTTTCTGTTGTATATACTGTTGATTTCATAAAGCCTGTTTGTAGGTTTCTTCCGTACTTATACAAGGAAAGAATAGCTGCACTGGAAGCGACTTAATTGATGACTAAACAGTAATAAATAACATTCGTTTATTCTCAAGTACTGGTTGCGTAGGAAATTTTGTTTGAGGAGGATTTCATCATGGCTGACAACGATTGCAGAACCATTGGAAAACCAATAGGGAGTACTAGACAGTGGACTGTTTTGTCAGCCAAGTTCGGAACTCTTCATCAGTACGTCCACGCCACCACGGTTAGAACCCAGGACCTTCTGGTTACAAGGTGAGGTAGCTCGTAGATCATTAAGCCGCTGGGGCGCAATCCCAAAGCCCATAAATTCCAACGTCTGCCAGTTCATGACATAGCGCGACCGCTAGCCACTGTCTTCGGCGAGTATTTGTTCCCACACTCAACTTGCTGTACTCTACTATTCACACATCCCACCAGAACGATTCGTTTATTCGATATGTTTGGAATAAACTCATATAAATTCAAAATATATCTATCTCAATAAGAAACATCATTAATTAGGGATTCTTTTAAAATTAACAAGCATTGAGCAGATTAATTTTTTGACCAGTGAGATAATGTAGAGCTGTACCTATTTCATTTATATCACACCTCTTCATTTCTCAAAAATCCTTCTTATGGCCATACTTGGTGGTTACTAGTTTTGCTATGATAATTGACGAATATTAGGGTCAATTAAGTCAAACGTAATAACCACTTCTCATATTTGATACTTTCTCACCTAGTAACTGAACAATTACAAAGTTTTCGCTAATTCCAAGGGTCCGAGATGTGACTTTTAGTGAAAAATTCTGAATATAGATAAGTTAAGCGGGGGAAGAGATAAACAGTGCACATTATACCACAGAAAGTATTTTCTCAGGGATTTCTCCATAATAATATGTATTAAGTTAAGCGAAGGTCATAAATCAAGTTAAAATACAGTAGTGTAGAAGGATAGTCGTACACATCTGGCCAACACGTAGATCTCTTGAATAATTACCGAAGCACATTTTTTTTGAGAATATCTACTCAGAGCATTATCCCTGTGAATATGTTATTTTGATTCAGCCATTCAAACAACCAATCAAACATTTACGGATGTCAGACGTGATTACTGTTCAGACATTTCACTGGTGATTCTATCTCACTAGTAAATCTTTCTAAACATCATCATAAAATTTTGTTTACAGTCGGTAATTCAGATCTTCACAGGAGATAAAAGACAAAAGGACTCAGAGACATACCCAGGATAGTAGTTACAAACAAATATTTGCTTTGATGAACACTTTTTCACTGCACATCCAATTTCTTCAGTATCTGCTGAAACAATCTGGAAATGAATGTTTACTCTCATTGTAAATATTTCAGTAATTAATTAATTAATTAAATTTTTAATTTTATTATAGCTGGGTTGACTGCATACAGCATTTTTGATACAAGTATGGAATTTTCAGCAATGTGATATCGATAGCCCAAATATAGCAGGCCGACCATTGATATCAAATATGCGTCGGCCGGGGATGAAACCCTAGATCATGCACATGGTTGGCGAGCGTCCTAACCGTTGTACCAACGACGCATATATATATATATATATATATATATATATATATATATATATATGGTGAAACATAAATGATAAAACTTGGTTAAATTTTGGTCCCTCTAAAATTGCGTTACAGTGATCATGAATGAAAAATACGGGGTTTCTGACGAAGTGACTGATTTCTGTGCTGGGCTTCCCCATGAACCATTGAACCATCAGATACAGGACTAGGGAGATCCAGAGGAAAATGGAAAAATATTTCATCCTTCGTCAGACTAATGTATGGTTGGATATTTTACCATCGATAAGTTTAGAACCCTCTTAAATACAAACATTCATTTCCACCTATAGTTTAAGGTATATTTTTTTCTTCACATTCCCCAGTGGAACAAAGGGCTTCAACAAGCTAATGGCTTGAAGTTTCTATAGCAGTGTTTAGTTTTACAGGATGAAGTTGCTAGCCTCATGCCCAACCTTTCCTCTTTACCGGCATTATTTCTCGCTTACTGAGTTAATGGAGTGCGTCGGGGACCGAACCCAGGACCATGTGCATGGTCGGCGAGCGTCCGAACCGCTGTGCCACCGACACACGGAATTATTTCATGAGGGAAAAAGTGCACTGAACTGTCTCTTGTCCTGCCTTATTAATCATTATTATTATTATTTTTTATTCATTTCTTGCTTCTTGTATGGAACGTCAGACATTAGTGACACGTTCAAATTTCACTTAGTTTTTTGCCAAAGCTTTCACCTGATCTTCTCTACGTCACCCCCTGATATCAAATCTGTCACTCCTTTTTTGGGTCCTGCTGGGAGCCGGGCGTGGAAGGTATCCTCAGTAAATGCCTTTTGAATGTCCATTGAACAGAAGATTCTTGCCAGCTGGTTTACTACCTGCCTAAATTCCTTATCGCTTATTATTCCTGGCCATCCGATCTTACTATGGTGTTGCTTCTGTTGTAACTGTAGAAGACGAAAGCCTCGGTAAGGAATGTTTATCAGCGATTTGGTATCTCTGTGCAGCGAAACTATGTACACCTTAACATAAAATCTCCCATTTGCACAAATCTTCCTTTTTATGCTACTTCAGGCGTTCATATTGTGTTTCTTTTTGTTCCTTTCAAGTCTCCCATCTCTGACATCAAATCTGTCTCCGTGCCTATGAACGTCTCTTTATAAACTACTGACAAATCTTACCAGCAGCACATACCACACTAAGATTCAACCTAGGCCACCATATAGTGTCCTAACCATTAGACCACGGTGATCAAAACTGACAAAAAGTTTTCTATCCACTAGGTGACCGATACACAAAAGATAGCAGTATCCAGCCATAGATAGAACTGAACATTTAATTGTACAAAAAGGTTATAGTTTTAATGAAGGTAGCAGTTAAATTGTCTATAACAAACAAAGACATATTTCAAGTGTTGGTTTGTAAACATTTGGTTGGTTACAGGCGAGCCCGTATATCATTAGGCCTTGTAACCAGGAGGTCCTGGATTCAAATCCCGGTGGATGAGTCCTACTGAAGAGTCCCAAACTAGGACGAGACAGCTGTCCAGTACTCCTAGGTTTTCCAATGGTTCTCTAACCAATGTCAGCTCATGATGAAATCCTAAATGACCTATTTTTCTTTATCATCAAAAGTAAAAATTCTAAGCAAAGAAGAATTATGTAAGACATACCTGTTTGTAGTGTTTACATTCTCCATTACATTTATTTTCATTGTAATTATAGTTCTTATGTTCTAGGAACCATGGCTCCACTAAACTAAGATAGAGATAAATACATTTAAATCACACAAATCTACCTTCTAACACTTGTACCTTCACCATTATATTGACTCACTTTCTTATCAGAATTCAATTTAACAACAACTCCATCACCAGCTTTCATATTGCACTTATTGGCTATCAACTGAGCATTATTCGCTAACTCAGTGTTCCAAGACTTTAAAATAATAAACACAAATATTTTTGTACAGTCCATTTTCAAATAAAAAAGTAAAACTCAGCTTAGTTTGTGATGAATGTTGATCATTTAAGTGGCTTCATTGCATATTGAATTCATATTGTGTTTTTTCAATATTTATAAATTATGTCATAGACATTAATTAGCAAAAAGAGTTTAAAATCTCCCGTAATTTTCGAGAAGAGATGAATCACTGTATTCATACACAAAATAGACATGATACCTGTACCGTATTCATCTTTTGGATCAGGTTTGAATTTAAAGGTGGTCGCTGTCACGTCGCCATTTTTGAAAACTATGAAAAAACCTCCCTTACTTGTTCATAAACCCTAATGAAGGTCTTTCACTGACGCCAAAACAATTTTCTTATAAATGAAATGGACGCGCTGCAGATAATGTGTGTCATAATATCGATCCTAGTCTACACGAAGGTACAAAGTGTGCCCGATCCTTTATTTTAGAGTACACCGCTGCTACTGAATTTATTCCTAGGTCAATTTTACTAGGCAAGCTGACTTCAGCACACACTGAAATCTGGACCACAATGTAGTTGTCCTCCTATATTCAGGTAGGAAACAATATACTATTTTAGATACAAAGTGCCTCACTTATTGCTTACTGAAGCCAATAAGCCTCAAGGCGTTGTACTCTATCCATTACATGAGGCTAACCAGTAGTCTCATTCAAATGATGCTAATCTGAATTACTTTATCATAGTGTTTGTTTTAGTTTCATGCGTGAACAAGACTTGCGTGGACTAACTGAGTCACAGGATTCTTGTTGGGAAGTTGAGTCTTTCCAGAGGTAATTAGGCTTTTTCCCACAATTTATTAATTCATATATTCTACCCATTATTTTTTATTGTTCTGTCTTATTCTTTTCTAAACTTCTAAAGAACGTGGAACACTCAAGGCCATATACAGGGTTGTGTCAACTAACTGACACTATTGTCGATAGGCATTTTAATTCTTGCGAGGAGTTAGCTAAAACCATCTTGTCGGATAGTGAACATCTTTTTTATTCTTACCTTTCTCCTTGTATTTTCAAGTATTGGTTTTTGTAGGGATTTAGTTTGATTTCATCATGAGCTGAAATCAGTTAGAGAACCACTGGAAAACCTGGGAGTACCGGAAAGCTGTTTCGTCAGCCTGCTTTGGGACTCCACAGTATTCACCCATCACCACGGGTTGAATCCACGATCTTCTGGCTACAAGACGAGCTAGCTCGTAGACCATTGAGCCACTGAGATCCTATCCAATGGCCAGTCCATGAACTATCGCTTCTGGCTATTCATGACAGAGCACGACAACTTTTTTTGATTACAGCTTGATTCCACACCATAATTTTGGTACAGGTAGGGAATTTTTAGCATGTGATGTCGGTAGCCAAATATAGCAGACCAACCATAGATATCAGGTGTGCGTCGACAGAGGATCAAACTCCGGATCATGTGCATGATCGTAGAGAGTCCTAACCACTGTGCCACCGACGCACAGTGTCTTTTCAATGTCTTCTCTAATGAATTACCGCCTCACCTTCTGACGCTCACTAGCGACCGGCCTTATTCGGGCAGTAAGCCTAGCGTTCTAATGGGAAGCTGTAACGAGAAGGGTACAGCAGGTTGAGATGAGGTAGTAACTCATTGAAGAAGACATTGTGAAGTTGTCACGCTATGACATGAATTGGCAGGAGTTAGAATTTAAGGGTTAGGCATTGGATTGGGTCTCAATGGCCTAATGGTGTACAAGCTAGCTCGCCTTTCAACCAGAAAGTCATGCGTTCTAACCGTGGTGGTGGGTGCATAACGAGGAAAAGTCCCAAACTAAGACGAAACCTACGACGATGGTTGGGATCGCGCTAAATCACGAATTGGTAGAAGTTAGAATTCATGAGTTCGCCATCGAATCGGGTCCCAGTGGCTTAATGTTCTACGTGCTCGCCTTGTAACCAGAAGGTCCTGGGTTCAAACCCGGTGGCGGGTGAGTACTACCGATGATTCCAAAACTAGGATGAAACAGCTACCCAGTACTCCTTGGTTTTCAATGTTTCTCTAACTGATATCAAACCGTGATCAACTCGTAAAAACAAAACTAACCCTTACAAAACAAACTATAGAAAACTTCCAGATTTCGGCTTGTATCTCGTACGGCTGAATATAAAAATTCAACAACACCATCTTTAGAACAAGTGTTGTGCGAAGAGACCAATGTCAGAAAAAAGAGTAAAAAATTGTTTAGTAATCTATAAATAAACAACAGCTTACTATTATTATATATTATTTTTCTGTTAACTTCACTGTTTACAGTTTCATGATTTTTACTGACTTATTTGTGAAAGGAGCTAAACTGTTGCAATATGCACAATGCTAAAAATTTCATTGTGTGCAAAAATTATTTTTGGAATCAAGTAATTAACATTATCTGATGATATTAAATGGTTGGAGGCAATCGGCAGAAAGCCTTGAACTTAGGCTTTGTGCTAGATGGCCCTCACCAGTCAGCAAGGCGTATCTGAAACCTTGAAGGAACAACTCATATCCCTTCTGAAATTCTAATCCACGTCACCCAGTGCTGCAGTCAGGGACGTTACCACTGAGCTATTTCGGCTCCTGACTGTCCTGCTGTAGGACTGTATTGATACAGTGATTGTACACTAGTAACTAGTGTAATGTGTCTACTCCTTTCTTTGGTGCAGACTGAATTCTATCAGTCACGTTTCCAAACTGGCGACCATTCTAGGTAGCTCACCAACACGGTGTACATTGATTTGATAATATTAGATGGTTGGAGGCCATCAGTGGTAACGTCTCTGACTGCAGGTCTGGATGATGCAGGTTCGAATCTCAGAATGCAACATGAGTTGTTCATTCAAGCTTGCAGATACGCCTTGCTGACTGGTGAAAGCCAACTAGCATGAAACCTAGGTCCAAAGCTGGGATTCTTGCCGATTGCCTCCAACCATCTAATATCATCAAATCTATGGGCAATGTGATGGTGAGCTACTTAGAATGGTAGCCACATTGCAAACCAGACTGATAGAATTCGATCTGAACCGAAGAAGGACTAGACACATCACAGTAGTTACTACTGTCCAATGAAATTATTATTATCTTTTATTTTCAAAACATCTTTTTCTTTGAAGAAAATGAACAAAACAAGGAGAATACATTGAGCAGGCTATAATTGTATTCATAAATTCCCTTGACTTTTATCAACTGTATGCAACACAAAACAGTTATAACGTCACATAGTTTAAATATTCAGTTAAAAGAGGGCAACCGCCATAGGGGGAAGACTGATAACAGTTCCTTTCTGAATACACCAGCTCAGTTTCAGTCATTTAATCACCACCTCTTTGACTCTACGCAGTAGACTAGAACTTGTACTGTGATAATATTAGATGATTTTAAAACGCTGCTTCCATGTCCATTGTGTGCCTCGGTGGTTCAGTTGTAGAACGCTCGTCAACCTTGCCACACGTGGTTGGAGATCCGAACCCGGTTGGTTCACTCATAAACCTTGCTAAGCTGGAAGTAACCGTAGTAAAGAGGGAAGGTTGGACGTGAGACTAGCAACCACACCTTGTAAAAGTAAAACCACTGACACCAAAAACCCAAGGCTCTCTCTACCTTGTAGGCCTATGTTTCACCCGGATCATAACGGAATAAAATAAAAATAAAAAATAATCCACATTCAGCATTTATAATTTGGCGGCGGACAGCACTACTGAGGACTTTTGTACAATTTAATTGCAAGTTCTTTGGAATATATTTATTTTTTTATTTATTTTTGATTACAGCTTGATTCCACACTGTATTTTTGGTACAAGTATGGAATTTTCAGCGTGGATATCGGTAGCGCAAATTTTGCAGGCTGACCATAGATATCAGGTGTGCGTCGGCGAGGGCTCGAACCCAGGACCATGTGCATGGTCGGCGAGAGTCCTAACCACTGTGCCACCGACGCACTCCAACTTGCTGTCACAAAACCTTTTTTCTCTTCATGCGATGTTTGTGCATTGGCACATATACGTAAATATTGGTATATGCATTTAACTGCAATATGAATTTAGAAGAATCCTTCAGTTGGTATTTTTAATCGAAAAACTATTTTTAACCATGATAATTTAGCCTGTATCCCTAATAAACAGTTTTAAGTAGATGCCTATCAATCACACACACACGCACACAACAAAAGTCACAAAATAACACATGATCTGACTGCCTTCTGTCTGACTACAACTATCAGTCAATTTCAATTTCAAGACACTTCTAAAACAATTAAACACTCAATTAGTGTAAGTTGTCTAGTTATGGTTTTGTGGTAAAACACAATTCCATATCATCATAAAGTTTGTCATTTTCATAGGTTATGAAAATCGCATGACTTTAGTCACATAGTTTCATAATTTGCTCCATAAATGCATTTATTTTCTCTCTCTCTCTCTCTGTCCCTTATTGATTTTGTGACACTTTCTATATGGCCAGTATAGGCTTTGCGTCAATGATTGACTCGGCTAAGTTAAATAACTGAGATAAAAGCTATTTCTGCTGGGTTTCGGTCTTAATGGGGAGGTAGGAGTATCCAGATGACGAGTTCCGAGTAGGGCAAAACGTGCATCTGAATTCCATAGCTAACTATAAGTCAGTCAGATAAAAAAAATGACTATAGACAAAATGCTTGTAGGTAAGAATCATCCTCACTTTACAAAATGAATAGCCTGATGTCTAAAAATTCTATAGACAATCAGTATACACCTACTGGGGTGGGACTCGAACCCTGGACCTCCAATTAAAAGGCGAGCTCACAGAACTTGAAATTCAAAGGCCATTGGATCTGGTCCAAGTGGATGCCTGGTTTACGAGCTCACCTTATAACTAGAATGCCCAAGGTTAGAACTTCAGGGGGCAAGTGCAAAAAAACAGCCCAAAAATTCAGGATGAAATACCTGTCCAGTACTCCCTAGTTTTCTATGGTTCT